TGTAGGACTTGCTCCTGATTGGAGGAGAGCAGCGTACTCGGCGTGTGGGCAGCCGAGTTGGGATTGGCGGAGGAGGACTATAAAGGAGGAGAGAAACGGCATGCACCAGGAACATCTATGGGGAACATCTAAGGGAACCCGTGCAGCCCCCGAGAAGAGCCGGCCGGCGGTGTGCCGCTCCCCTGCGGAAGTGGGGAATGTGGCAGGGGGAACTGCCCTTCCACGGAGGTGGAAGGGATAGTAGCCAACCCGGGAAGAACCAGCAGCAAACCCAGGGAGGGCCGAGCAGACGAAAGAACAGCGCAGGGTCCTGTGTCGTTCCTCCACGAAGAGGGGGAGCGACAGATTGAGATCTTCCATCCGCTACTCCCCAGATGCGACATCCTGGTCTCCCACACAGGTGGGAGGTACTTGTGCCACCTGCTGCTTTCTCAGGAACATTAGCAGGAAACTGGGTCAGAATGGGGGGTAGGCAGGGTTCCAATTGGCACTCCAATATGGGATGCTGTCATTGCAAGAGGTGGCTTAATCTGCTATGCCACAATGCCAGCCCCAGGACCTTTATGTTTTCAAGGTTTCTCTTTAGTTATTTTCATTTTATTTCAAAGGCAGAGAGACAGAGAAAGAGAGATCTTCTATTCACTTGTTTACTCCCCAAATGCCTGCAATAGCCAGGGCTGTGTCAGGCTGATGCCAAGCGCCAGGAATTCCATCTTGGTCTCCCACATTGGTGACACAGACCCAAGTGCTTGATCCATCACCTGCTTCCTTTCAGGGTGCACATTAGCAGGAAGCTGAATTGGAAGCAGAGTAGCTGGACTTGAACCCAGTATTCCAATATGGGTCACAGATGTCCCAAGCAGCAGCTGAACCCATAGTGCCATAATGCTTGCCCCCACATATATTAAAACAATTTAAAATTTATTTTATGCATTTGAAAGGCAGAGATAAAAAAGAGAAAAAGGGGAAGGATATCTCAGTCTCCATCTACTGGTTCACCCCCTAAATGCATGCATTAGCTGGGGCTAGGCCAGGCCAAAGGCAAAAGCCAGGAACCCTACCCAGCTGTCCCACGTGGATGGAAGGGACTCAGATATTTGAGCCATCACCTGCTGCTTTGCATGGTGCACATTACCATTAAGCTAGAATTGGGACTGGAATGAAGACTTGACCTTAGGCACCCTGATGTGGAATATGGGCATCCCAGACAATGTTTTAACCATTATACCAGCCATCTGCCCCACAAATGCATGTACTTTAAAAACAGAACTTAATGATATCTACTGGGAATCCTTGCTACTCATCCAGCTAGCCTAAAGAGGCTTGATTTATCTTCCTAAACATACTACTTCTCCTTATTTGAACCCAAGTGGAAATCTGCAAATATGCACATTACCAAATCCAGTAAAAAACTGTTCAGAGCAAATGACATTTATTTGGCATTATCCTTTTCCTAGCTGTCCTCCTTCATTTTTCATTCATTTAAAATCAATGTTGTGAAATTTATCAGTTAATCTGAGACAGCTTCTGAAGTATCACATCAAGGGACGAGTATTCAGCATAGTAGTTAAGACATGCATGTCCCACATTAGAGTTTCTGGATTCCATTCTTGGCTCCAGCTTCTGAGTCTAGCTTTCTGCTGATGCACATCCTGGGAAGCAGCAAATGATGGCTCTGGTGAGTGGGTCCCTGCCCCCACGTGGAAGGCATGGATTGAGTTCCTGGCTTCCGGTTTCGGCCCAGAGCCAGTCCCAGCCATTGCAGGCCTTTGAGGAGTAAAACAGATAACAGGAGCTCTGTTTTTCAGTCTCTCTCTCTCTCTCTCTCTCTCTCTCTGGTTCTCAAATGAATAAATTTTTTTAAAGTATGACATTAAATCTGAAGATGTTTAAATAAAAGAATTTTGACTGATATCACTCCCCAACAATTGTACCACTTTAGTTCACGCCACCATTAACTCCTTATCTGACATTTCACAATGGTCTCTGAAACTAGTCTCTTTTCTCTCACTCTGCCACACGCAATCAAGTCTTAAAACCACAGCCAAAGCCAAATTGTAACATAAATATCGCGTCACTTGTCAGCTTACAGCCCTCTTAGTGCTCACCATTGTGCTTAAAATTGGGACTTCTTAGCTCAGCCTGGGAGGCCCTCCATGACCAAGCTCCCGTCTCCCTTGCCACGCTGCCCCTCATTCCTGCATTCCAGACCCACTGGTGCTCTGGGTTTCTCAAGGAAGTCGGGCTTGTTCCCGACCCAGGACTTTGGCATTTGGCTATCAGGAACCCTTGACCCCCAGATTCCCCAAATCTCTTTCTTCGTGCCTCAGTGTTTCCTGCTCAGTGTTGTGCTGCCCGGCTCTAGACTGCAATCTTCTCTCCTTCACAGCTCGTGTTATAACTACAATTACTTGATCTATTTATAGCTAGTTCCCTGTCTTCCCTTCTTGTTCCTAGATGCTATCACTTAGAACTGTTCCTGATCTGAAGAGTAGTTACTCATTATTCGTTGAACACAGGATATTTTAAAGTCTTATAACCTTTATGATAGAATTGGAAAGTGGTCTTAAAATATGACCTGCTCATGCTACAGATAACAAGTTAGAGCAGAGAGAGATTGAAAGACACACTTAGTAAGTAAAAAGATGACTACTACAATCTGGTTCCTCCAGCTCTACAAACTCACACGGCCTCTGTCTTATAGCTAGTAGCCCTGAATTCCTTCCCTAATTCTTTAGCTGGCTTGGCCATATTTCTCCTCCTCTTTCCTTAGACAGCTCTTTTTCTGAGCTATTGTTTTATCCGTTCATCACCACTAATATAATTCACTTATTTGTAAGGTTTACTAGCTTTCTTATTATTAACTCTGTGAAGTGCTTTGTGATGCTGGTTATGAAGAATATCTTAGGAAAATAAACCACAGCATGTGAAAAAGGCCCCAGTCTACAGCAGTACCGCACACAGTGCCCATAACAAAGGCGCAGTTGTGCTGTGGCAGGGAAGAGTCAATAATTAGTAACACATTTCTAAAGGTCTCTCTTGCATAATTTTTGTGTCCAGATGTCTATGACATTTGGGTTCTAAAATAGAGTTCCAAATACCACACATTCATGCACATTTTCCAAGAATAATTGGATGATTTTTTGAGTCTTTCTATTTAATAAACATCAGGACTAAAGATGGACTACTTCACAATATCAAATTTATTCACTTTAAACATTCATTTTGATGTGGAAAGTATTTGGAATAAACACAATTAAAAGAGTGCCAGATTGTAAATCCTTTGAAGTTTTTGTTTATGATATGTCTCTTCCAACTGCTAGTAGTATAAAAATGGAAAGTCATTTACATAAAAATTTTCAATTCACATGTTCTGGGAGATTAACTATTAACAATTCCCACAACACACTTTGGTGACTCCCCGTGGCCTAGAGCACAAAGTCCGAGCACCCGAATAAGGTACAACTCCATTTCCAGCATCTGGACCTGCCTATGTCTTGGGTCCAACAGCTGCCACTCCCTCCCCAAAGTTTATGCTCCAGGGACACCAAATTGCTTGTAATTCCTGGAACACAATGGAATGTTTCTTGTTTCAGTGTCTTTGTGCATGCTGTGCCCTTCCCATTTCTCCGGGCCTTAGTCCTATGCAACCTGCAGGTTGCAGTCTCTAAGCCATTTCTGTAAGAAACACTCTGATGTCTTCCTATTGTGCGTGGTGGTCTTTGGAACTTAACTCCCTCACTGAGCTGCACTGAATTGTAACTGTATTTGGCATTTTCTATTGGTCCATGAACTACTAAACGGAGCTCATCTTTGTCTCCACAGCATCTAGCAGGAGTTAAATGAAAGCAAACTGAATAAATTAGGCATTTGCATAATAAAATTAAATCACAAAAAAGCAAAGGTTGGACTTCAGTGATTGTTAGAGCCAAGAAAAACCTCAATGAGAACCAGTTAATCAACAGATTCTCTGGAAGTTTTGAAGGAAGGAGATTTATATTATTTATTTATTTGAGAGATGGTGGGGGCAAGGTGGGGTGAGCTCTGACTCACTGATTCACTCAGAATGCCTGCAGTAGGCAGTGCTGGGAACTAGGAATGCAAGCCAGGTCTCCCATGTGAATGGCAGGAACCCAACTACTTGAGCCATCACCAGCTGCCTTCCAAGTTGCACATTAGCAGGAAGCTTGAGTCAGGAGCTGGAGCCAGGACTCTAATTCAGATACTCTGACATGGGAGGGAGATATCTTAACCCACTCCCCTTGTTTATGTTTTTAAAAATCTCATGAAGAGAGGCCAGCTCTGTGGCGAGTAGGTTAAGCTTCCAGCTGCAGTGCCTGCATCCCATATGGGCATCAGTTGGAGTCCTGGCTGCTCTACTTCCTGTCCTGCTCTCTGCTATGGCCTGGGAAAGCAGTAGAAGACGGCCCAAGTGCTTAGGCTCCTGCACCCACGTGGGAGACCCGGAAGAACCTCCTGGCTCTAGGCTTTGGAGAGGCCCAGCTCCGGCCATTGTGGCCTTTTGGGGAGTGAACCAGCGGATGGAAGACTCTCCTTTCTCTCTCTCTCTCTCTCTGTAACTCTGCCTCTCAAATAAATAAATAAATCTATTTTTTTAAATCTCATGAAAAAAATTAAAACAAAAATTTACTTAAAGTGAATAAAAGAATGAAAAGGCACTTTCTAGGATATGTCACGTTATAAGCAAGACTTAGAGCGCAGTCTTCTAAATGAGCACATTTAGTCCAGAGGTCCTCAAGCCCTGGAGAACCAGGGATCCTCAGAACCATTTAAAATGGCCTTAAATCCACTGCTGTAGTCTGAGTATCTATGTGCAACTCAGCAATGATTTTAAAAATCTGTATAGATATTTGAGACTAATAAAACACTGACCCATTTAAAACAGTACTTAATTCACAGAACCAACGTCATTATACATTTTTTTCAGTCCACAAATGCATACATTGTTTCAGCAAACATATAGTGGTAAATGTGCTTACTGTACAGGTTCTGGGGACTCAGTAGTGAATCAGCTACATGTAGTGCCTGACTTCAGGTGCTTGGATCCTAATAAGAAAGACAATGAACAAACAAGTAACAGGAAAATAGTTGAGTCCTATGAAAAGGAAAAACTGGGTGCTACTTTGGAAATAAATGGGAGAGAAGGAAACAGGTATTCAAAGAAGGCCTTTCCAGGAAATTGACTTTTACATCAGGATCTAAGACCTCGGAAGCAGCCAGCACAGAAAGAAGTTGGGGAAAAGCATTCCAGATCGAGGGACCAGCATGTGCCAAGGCCTAGTCAAGAGAAAAGTCTCAAGTGTTTGAGACACTGAACATGAGGCCAGTGTGGTTATTGGGCAAGGAGTAAAGTGGATTTGGAGAAGGCAAGACCAGACCACACTGGGCACGTGGGCTGTTACAAAGGATTTCTTTCTAAGTATGAGAAAAGTGCAGAGCGTGTAGACCAGTTATGTCAATCTAAGTTACTTCATACAGTGCTAATTTGTGTTGCGTGTAAGTATGCGCTTAATTCCCAGAAACTAAAGTCATATTTTTGAAAATACATTTCAGGATACACAGAATAAGATATTGCCAAACTAAACATTTTCCCGAAACCTAAACAATTTATTCTAGTGGACCTAGTCAATTGTGTATTGTGCACCCTTACCATCCAATGTTAGAGGGATATCCACAGAACACAAAGGGCTATTGAAATTAGGATCCGAGGGGAAACATTTTCCCCCTTTACTCCGGGCACACTGGTACCAAAAGACAACATTCTCTCCAGTTGTCTACTTGCTTGGCTGTGAAATTCCAAAAGGAGTTGGGTCTAGGAGAGAGAGAGCTGGTGGACAGACACGTTCTCAGCTGAGGATGGGTGTTGCTGTGCCCGTACTTGGATTCTGGAAAGTCACCACATTGTTTGGTCTGAGTTTATTCTCATAATTTACTTTTACGTAAGCTGAATTGTTCTGCCTCCAAGGTATTCTTCCAAATGAGTGAGGCTGTTTCAAACTTGAAGTGAGAGCATAGTGATCCTAAACACATGAATGAACCTCTTTATTGCATTTTATGTTTTTAAGCATCTTTGCAAATGTGTGACCACAAGGTTCCTACAACTTGAAGCATTTGCCCTCTACTGCGCTCTGAGGAGTGATTGAGAAATCAGCTGTCAGCAATTTCCCTGGGGTCTCTGAAGCTTTGGTGATGTAAGCACTTTTCTTCATTGGGTTAAACTTAGGAGGAAAGGCAAATCTGCTGAGTTCGTGTTTTTCGTGGCAATAAGCCAGTTTTCCTTTCCATATGTTGTTTGCCCTGGGGCAATCTTTTAAGGTACATGGGATTCATTTCTACTGAAGGAGAAGCCTTACAGTATGGGGGAAAACGAACGAGACAGGATGGCAGGATTAGTTGTTTACTGCAATCTGCAAAAGAACAGAGAAAAAATGACAGCGGAGGCTGTGCACGGATTCAGGCTGGCGCTGCAGGAAGTGAGCAGATTTTCTTGGTTTAGTATACAAAACTGGTTGCTGGAAGGTCAAAGCCAGGGAAGTCTGGTTGGAAGGGCAGGCCCTCGCTCAGATAACAGCCCAGAGGGATTTCAAAGAAGTTACCCATAGTTCAACCAAGTGCTCTGACAGGGAAGAGGAATTCCGTAATGGTGCCACACACGGAGGATTTGGGACCTTTGGAGGAAAGGCTTCCCGGAGGAAGTCCTTTCTAAGCTGAGCTCTAAATATAAGGAAGACAGAATTTCCAGCACAAGAGTGGGATGGGGAAAGCAGGGGGTGCCCTGGTGTGGAGAGCGTGGAGGAGGAAGCGTTTATGCAAAGTAGAGTGAAAAGGGAGGTGCATTCCGGGAACTGACTATAATTCAGTTTGCTGAGGCATGGTGTGCAGGTGGGGTGGGAGGGGGCCGATTGAGAGAGGAGGCCAGAGATGCTCATCCAATTATGAAGAAGCTGCAGATGTATCTGAGGACAATGGAAACCCAGTACGGGTTTTTAAGGAAGGAGAATGATCAATTGAGAAAGATCAATCTGACATCAGAGTGAAGAACGGATTGGAGCGTAAAAGAGAGGGCCATTAGCAGACTGTTGCAATAAAAACAGGCCTTACACAATGATGACCCCAAAGGAAGCAAGTGGTAGTGGAATGGGTGGCAGTGAACAGGGTTAGAAAGTGGAGTTAACGTGACTTCTGATAGGTGGAAGGAGGAGAGAATCAGGAGTCCAAACAGGTCTGGCTTAAGGAGCTGGTGAATGTTGTCTATTGTCTAGGATGTCCTCGACTGCACTATCTGCCCTTTGTCACCGGTCATGGTGACAAGGGGTGAGGGGCTATCTTGGCAGCCGCAAGCAGCTCTGAGTATGGGTTCCACAGTCATGGTTTTAGAAGATAGTCCCTTTTTATGCCTGCTGCTGTCTCATCCCAGTTTAAACTATAAATTATAGTACTCTATTTGTGAAACTTCCCATAGAAGGAAACATAGGTTAGTATCTTATCTACTTACCTGTGTATTTATTTATTTATAAAGGAAAGGCAGAGCATCAGAGAGAGTGAGAGACAAAGAGACAGAAAGAGAGAGAGAGAGATCTTCCATCTGCAAAGTCGCTCCCCAAATGCCTTTAACAGCTAGGGCTGGGCCAGGCCAAAGCCAGAAGCCAAGAACTCCATCCATGTCTCCTGCATGGTTTGTAGGGACTCCAAGCACTTGGCTATCATCTGCTGCCTCTCAGGTACATTAGCAGGAAGCTGGATCACAACGGGGAAGTGGGACTGGATTTCAGGGCACTTTGTTATAGGATGTTGAAGTCCCAAATATCAACTTAACCCACCGTGTCCCAACACTTGCCCAGTTAGTTCTTTCCTTAAAAACATTTTACTGGGGTTGCCATTACAAGCTAGGGTATGAAATGGATGAGCTGGTTTGAACAACTTAGTAACAAGGTGTTTGGCATAGCAGCTGGGATGCCACTTGAGACCATGCATCCCATATCTGAGTCCTGGATTCAAGTCCTGGCTCCACTTCTGATTCCAGCTTCCTGTTAATATGCACTCTGGGCAGCAGTAGATGACAGCTGGGTTCCCCTCACATAAGTGAGACACCTAGGTGGAGTTCCCGGTCCTTAGCTTTATTCTAACCCAGGCCTGCTCTTACAGACATTTGGGGAGCGAACCAGTGGATGGAAGATCTCTTTCTGTCTGTCTGTTTCTATCTCATGTTGGAGACCCAGCTGGAGTTCCAGGCTCCTGGCTTGGGCCTGACAGAGCCTGGCCTATTGTGGGCATGTGGGGCATGAACCAGTGAATGGAAGATTCTTTCTGTACTTCTCTTTCTCTCTCTTTCTGCTGCCAAAAAATTAAAAAAAAAAAAAAAACAAAAACGAAATAAAGCTTTAAGGAAAAAAAACTTAATAATTGTTTATTTCCAGAACTTTCCACGTAATACTTTTGGACCATGGTTGACTGTGTGTAACTGAAGTCTTAGACTGGATTAGGCAGGACTACTGTAGCTGATTCCAGGGGGTGAAGAAAGATTTCCAAGGCTTCTGAACACGAACTTGAACTCTGTCTTAAAATCTACCACCTAAATGTTTTCCTCTGCCAGGCTCATTTGTGTATTTACAGCCTCCCTCCTTCCCAAACATATCCAAGATAGCTCAGAAAGACGTGGCCCCATTAGAGAGCAGTTTTGATAGTGGTTGATGTGTTTCCAGCTCCAGACGTTGTATGAAAGCTAACATACACAGGCTGCCCCTGTTATTTCGTTTTCAAACACTGCATTCCAAAAATGCATGTGAGGGTCAGCTCTTTGGAAGCTGGAGCACACTTTCCTTGAAGAAACCCAGCGACACTTGAGTTCCCAAACTGGGGCACAGAAACCTACAGAATACTGGATGTAAACCACACACTGCGATTCTGGGTTTTCTGAGTATTACCAGGGTGAACTGACTGAAGACAGCTCTTTCCCCCATTTTCTGTAGAAAGAGAAAAATTCTGGAAAATATGAAGCCTGTTGTGTATCCTTTTCCATGTTTCCTCCCTCTCACTGGTTTCCTCCAGCCACAGTGCTCTCTCTCTATCTCCAAGTCCTCACTGTTTCCTTCTGTTTGGGCCTATTCCAACTCCTAAGTGACGTCATATTTCCTAACGATTGCTTTTTTTTCCCTAATAAAACTCCAAAGCTCTCAGTGTAGTTATCTTTACTGCCCATTAAAACATTGAACACCCATACGTGAATGACCAATGGATTCTGAATATTTGCAGACCTCTTTTTAAAAGACAGGGAGGGGTGAACATCTGGCAAAGAGATTAAGGCGCTGTTTGGGATGCCTGCCTCCCACATCTGAATGCCTGGGTCTGTGTCCCGTCTCCACTTCTGATTCCAGCTTCCTGCTAACGAACACCTTAGGAGGCAACAGGTGATGGTTCACTTATTTAGGTCCCTGCCACCCATGTGGGAAAACTGAATTTAGTTCCAGACCCCTGGCTTTGGTCTGGCCTTGTCCTGGCTGTTGTGGGTATTTGGGTAGTAAACGAGTGGATGGAAGATCTCTGTCTCTCTGCCTTTCAAGTAAAATAATATATATTTTTAAAAAGCAGAATTCACAATCATTTTAAAAATAAAACTGGGGCAGAATAAAATTTGGCTCAGAGGTTAAGTCTCTACTTGGGACAGCTGCACCTGATACTGGAGTGCGTGACTATGTCCTGACACTCTGCTTCTCCTACCGATGTGCAACCTGGAAAGACAGGAGTACATGGGCCCCTGTCACTCACACGGGAGACTCCGATGGAGCTGCCTCTCCCTGGCTTTGGGCTGGCCCAGCACCAACTTGGCATTTGGTGAGTGAATTAGCACGAGGAAGATCTCAATCTCACTCTCTCTCCCTCTGCCTCTCAAATAAAAACTGAAATTAAATTTTAAAAATTTAAAAAACATAAAATCACAGGGAATATATATTCTTTCAAACATTTGTGATCTGGAGGAAGGAAGGTAGTACAGTTCAGTAACAGAAGTGGGAGCAATTCACGTTAGGAGAAGGATTTTTTGGGTCAGGGCCTCCAGAATTAGATTCCTTAAATTCCTATTTCTATTTGTTTGTTTACAGTCTCTGCATTGACTTGTAGTGAGACCAACAACTCACATTAGCATATCGCTCTATAAAATACTTTGACAGATATTTGAGCCCATAAGAGATTAGGCCCACTTTATAGCAAAGTAAACCAAGGCTCAGAGGAGCTACATGCTGGCTTAGAAGCTCCAGCTAGTGGTGCTGAGGTTCCGAATGCTAAGAACTCGGTTCCTGAGACGCAGCTTCTATCAATTCCCCTGCACTGGGCTGCCTCTCCAACTTCCCAGAATTCCCAGAATCTCTGTGTTGGCAGTGCTGGTGAAGGGAAGGGCAGAGCATGGAGTCAGGGGGTGAGGTCAGGACTGCCGTCTCTGAAAGTTGTTTGTGCCAGGATTTAGTCTTGCCTCCTCCTCTAAGAAATGGTTGCTGGGCCGGTAACTGATCAGTGGTTTGGTTGGGAGTCGGGGAAGGGAGTCTGGAAAAAATGGCAACATTTTACACATTCTGGGGATGCGTATTTATATACTTTAAATGAATATGTAAATAAAATGCCCTTCCATTGTGTCTCGTCAAAGAACATAGATCAATATCTCTCATAATGATTTTTAAAAATTTTTCCTTGGGGCTGGTGTTGTGGTGCAGCAGGTTAAAGCCCCAGCCTGCAGTGCTGAGTTCCCATATGGGTGCCGGTTCAAGTCCCGGCTGCTCTTCTTCTGATCTAGCTCTCTGCTGTGGCCTGGGAAAGCAGTGGAAGATGGCCCAAGACCTTGGGCCTCTGCACCCGTGTGGGAGACCCAGAAGAAGCTCCTGGCTCCTGGCTTCGAATCAGCTCAGCTCTGGCCGTTGCAGTCATTTGGGGAGTGAACCAGCAGAATGGAAGACCTCTCTCTCCCTCTCTCTCTCTCTCTGCTTCTCCTTCTCTCTGTGTGTAACTCTGACTTTCAAATAAATAAAATAATTATTTAAAAAATTTCCTTTATGGATGACACAATGGAAGTATGTATCCTATAAACGTTGAGTGTTTAGCAACTTTCAAAGATGGAGAAAATACACTTGCCCAGAGAGTGAAGAATAAGAAGGCCACAATTCCAGACATCATGATACTCAGGGCTGCAATCAGGGTGAAATCAAGCCCAGCCAAACCACGTGTCAATGACATGGATCTCTGGAAGAAAAGCATTTTGATAGCAAAGCCTGCGCATGGCACCAAACTTCCTCCGTGGCCCTGGATGATGTGCATGGACATGGTGAGCAGAGGGCGGCCACTTCCTCCTTTGCACACAGCACAGCTAGTCAGCATTGGAAAAAGGGACAGGAGAAAGCAGCTGTTGGAAGTCCCAGCCCCAGTCCAGGGAACAAAGTGCACAGGGGGAGCACCAAGGACTTGGGTGCTTAAATCCACAAGGCACCTTGTCCCTCCCCACCCCCACCCCCCCCACCCCAAAAAAAAAACCACCTTGGTCTGCCTCCTGCCAGAAGTGCTCTGAGGAAGCCATGGGCAAGAGCAGAGCCACTCAGTGACTTCTCATGCCAAAACATTTAAAGGGCCACCACGACTTCACAATATTAGTCAAATATGTATCAAAAGCTGTTTGACAAGGAAAAACCTTTGCAACTGTGTGATGAAAGAAAAGGTGTCAGACTATTGCCAGGGCTCAATAACAACAACAACAACAAAAGTGAGTTGTGGGATCTTTTTGTGGGAAGGAAGAGGTTATTGTGGGGGTGGGAGAGGGACGGAGAGGAAAGGCTATGATGGGTTTCTTTAAATTGCTGATAATCTATCAAACCTAGACTGGAGAAAACCTCAACAATGAAAATGTTAATCCATTTACTTTAAACCAAGGCCAGGCCTAGAAGTAGGCGGATAGTATAGAGCCAGTCACTATTTGGAGGAGACTGGATCTTTGAAATTCAGAATCTCCCCAAAAAAACATTAGGTTAAATGGTAGCCAACAAAGCCACTGTGGCCTTGGGTTTTATTGTGCAAGCCAGGGAGTTTCTTGTCTGTGTAGAAACAGTACTTACTTGCAGGCGTATTATGGCATAGGGGAATGCACTAATTCTCACATACTATTCTGCATTTTATAATTAAAAGAAAGATTTCTGAAGTCAAAGACATACTTGCATTTCTAGACATTGGCTATTTTTAATATCAAATCTGGTAGTTGTTCATTATTTATACAGACATAAAAATACTCTGGGCTTCTGTCACTTTCAATTCCAGTGCAAAGTATGAGTCTGTTCTAATATTTTCTACCAATATACTTTGTATTATGCCAACACATAATTCTCAAAGAGATTCTTTTTTACTGTCTACTGAGAAAATATACTTCAAACATAAGTAAAATATAATTATGTTTTGGATCAATTTATATTAAAAATTTCCTGCTATATAGCACTGTGTATCTTCCAATATTTTGTGTTTAATAAATATTTGTTGAAAAAACTCTCATATTAAGAATTTGAGCGGCTGATGTTGTGGCACAGCCAGTTAAGCTGCATCCTGAGATGCAGGCATCCCATATGAGCTCCAGTTTGGGTCCTAGCTGCTCCACTTCCAATCCAATTCCCTGCTAATGCACCTGGGAAGGCAGTGGAAGATGGTGTGAGTGCTTGGGACCTTGCCACCCCATATAGGAGATCCTAATGGAGTTCTAGACTTCCGGTTTTGGTCTGGCTCAGCCATGGCCATTGTAGCCATTTGGAGAATGAAACAGGGGATGGAAGAGTCTGTCTTTCTCTCTTTCTTCCCTCCCACCCACCGTAACTCTGCCTTTCAAATAAAAATGGTTTTAAGATTTATTTTATTTATTTGAAAGGCAGAGTTACAGAAGAGCGAGGAAGAGATAGAGACAGACAGAGATTTTCCATCTGCTGGTTCACCCCCAAAATGGCCACAATGGCTGGGGCTGGGCCAGACTAAAGCCAGGAGCCTGGGGCTTCATCTCTGGGTCTCCCAAATGGGTTCAGGGACCCAAGTGCTTGAAACCAACACCCATATGGGATGCTAGCACAGCAGAAAGTGAAATTTAAAAACAAAGTAAGATTTTTTAAATTTAGTTAAATAAAACAAATGATATGGGACAGATGCAAACAGGAGATATAACTGGTCCTGTGGGTAGAAGATGAACTTGATGCTGTCTGGGTTCCACAAGAATCAGAGAGGTGTTAATAAACATCAAATCAAACATTCTATGTTATTCAAATCCGTTATTTTATAAGATCTTCATAATTTTTCTCTTCAAGATGTATCTTAAGTAGGTCCACTCCTCTTTCCACCTATACTGCCATTCCTTAGTACAGGTCTGCATGTTTCCAAAGTTGCTATCTTGTGCTACAATCAATGGCTTTTACTTTATTCTCTCTCTACACAAATGGTAGAATAATTTCTGATAGTGAAATTCAGACTGTGTCGCTCCCTAGCTTAAAACCCTTCTGCAGCCCCACGACCCTTAGAATAGTATCCATACATAGTATCTTATGGCCTGGAAGGCCCTCATGTCGGTCCCCTGCCTCCCTCCAACATCATCTCATGCCTTTCTCCTGGGCTCTTCACTTCACTCTTGCCAGAGTCCTGTATTACAAAGTCTCTCTCAGCATTGGGTCTCTGACCATGCTGCTCTACTTCAAAAGCTCATTCCCCAACATCAGCAGAATTTATTCCTTCCCATTTTCAGCTGAAATATTATACCAATTTTATATGAAGTCTCTCGCTCTCTTATTTTCTTCATAATATGTGTCATAATCTGTAATTGCTTTATTCATGTTTAGTTTACTTGTTTCCCTCCAAATCCATGAGCATAGAAACCATTCATTTCTTTCCCTGTTGAATAACTAGCACCTAACACAGAACCAGCTGAGTAGTAGATATGCAGTAGGATTCATTATAGGAGAATTACCAAATGAAGAAATGAACAATAAGTCTATGAAGTACACAAAGATGCCAGAAGTATCTACTAATGAGGACACACTTGTTAAGTGATGAGCCAAGCGGGAGTGAAGACTGTGACTGACACCTACCTAGGGTTCCAACCTGGTCACGAGGGCCATCTGGCTGTCTCCACAGAGAGGTGGACAGAATTACTTCACAATCGATGCAAAGCTAAGAACAGGCATGGAGCATAAAGGGAATAATTAGTAGACGGAGTTGTTATGTTCTGTACACCAGCAATCAGCGGACCACAAAGAGTGTCTGAAAAGGATATCAGGGTAAAAGTCCAAACTTTACTCAGGAGGCAATCAGAGAAATGGAATTCATAAACAGAGCCTTGGAATAAAGAATAACAAGGCAATGTGTTCAAGGGAAATCAAAAGGACATCCCCCAAGGAACATTTTGGTGTTGTTCCCCTGGGAGGTGAAATCACATCCTTTTTGCACATGGTGCTAGAACAACAGACTGAATCCACAACCAGAGGGTGCTCCCCCATCCTCCCAGCATTGTCACTGTTTACTCAACACTTGTCTTATAATGTCTCTCCATTTTTCTATTGGCTCAAAAGGTTTAGGACAGGGCTTGCTAAGCATATAGTGAACACTGAAAAATACTTATTTGTTAGACAATGAGTGAACAAGTGGATCAAAGCTATGGCTATATGTTTTTCTCATTTAGTATTTTATAGTTCTCCTTGGAGAAACCTTGAAATTTCAGGAAAGCATGAAGAAGGAAACAAAAAGTCTTACATAAGCCATCATCCGGAAACAGCCGGGATGTACTTTCTTTCCATGTCTTTTTTCCTCCAATTTTGTTTTTCCTCCACCTCACTTTTTTTTTTTTTTTGGACAGGCAGAGTGGATAGTGAGAGAGAGGGACAGAGAGAAAGGTCTTCCTTTGCCGTTGGTTCACCCTCCAATGGCCGCCACGGCTGGCGCGCTGCGGCCGGCACACCGCGCTGATCCGATGGCAGGAGCCAGGTACTTATCCTGGTCTCCCATGGGGTGCAGGGTCCAAGCACTTGGGCCATCCTCCACTGTACTCCCTGGCCACAGCAGAGAGCTGGGCTGGAAGAGGGGCAACCGGGACAGAATCCGGTGCCCCAACCGAGACTAGAACCTGGTGTGCCGGCGCCGCTAGGCCTCCACCTCACTTTTGAAAAAGGTTTAATATGAACTTGGGGAAGGGGCATGATGAATGATATTATCTGTGTGCAACACTTGGAAACTCCAAAAAGAAGTAAAGAGGAAAAGAAATCTTTAGAATCCAACTGTGGGGGGCTAGTGCTGTGGCTTAGCGGGTAAAGACCCCACCTGTAACACCTGCATCCCATGTGGGCACCAGTTTGTGTCCTTGCTGTTCCACTTCTGATCCCTGCTAATGCACCTAATAAAGCAGCAGCAGATGGCCCAGTCCTTGGGCCCTGCAGCCATGTGGGAGACCTGGAAGAAGCTCCTGGCTCCTGGCTTCAGCCTGGCCCAGCCCTGGCTGTTGCAGCCTTTTGGGGAGTGAATCAGCAGAGTAAAGATCTCATTATCCCTCTGTCTCTCCTTCTCTGTCCCTCTATGCTCTATGCATTTATTTATTTGAAAGGCAGAGCATAAGAGAGAGAGAGGAGCGAGATCTTCCATCTGCTGGTTCTCTCCCCAAAATGGATGAAACAGCAGGGCTGGGCCAGGCTGAAGTCAGAACCAGGAAGTCCATCCAGGTCTCCCACATGCATGCCAGGGGACCAGGTACATGCATCATCTTTCGCTGCTTTCCCAACATTAGCAGGAAGCAAGACCAGAAGTGGAACTTGGGGATTTGAACTACCGCTCCATTATGGGATGCCACTGTTGCAAGCAGCGGATTAATCCATTACATCACAGCATGAGTTCCAGTATCCTACCTTTTAAAAATAACTGCAGCACCAATATCTACCTATATTACTGAAAACGGCTTAGAAACATGGCTTCAAATGTCAAAAAAAAAAAAAAAGTCAAGCATGTGGATGCTCTCTTTTTAGGCAGGAACCTAAGTGCTTGGGCCACGCTCCGCAGGAAGATAAGATTAGATATGTGAAGTACCCAGGACTAGAACCTTCACTGATGTGGGATGTGGGCATCCCAAGTGTTAGTTAAGTCCATTGTGTCACAATGCCTGCCCCTTACAAAGTGTTTTTTTTTTTAACTTTTATTTAATAAATATAAATTTCCAAAGTACAGCTTTTGGATTACAGTGGCTTTTCCCCCCATAACTTCCCCCCCACCCACAACCCTCCCATCTCTCGCTCCCTCTCCCATTCCATTCACATCAAGATTCATTTTCAATTATCTTTATATACAAAAGATCAGTTTAGTATATATTAAGTAAAGATTTCAACAGTTTGCACCCACACAGAAACACAAAGTATAAAGTACTGTTTGAGTACTAGTTATAACATTAATTCACATTGTACAACACATTAAGGACAGAGATCCTACATGGGGAGAAGTGCACAGTGACTCCTGTTATTGACTTAACAATTGACATTCTTGTTTATGGTACAGTAATCACCCTAGGCTCTTGTCATGAGTTGCCAAGGCTATGGAAGCCTTTTGAGTTTGCCAACTCCAATCTTATTTAGACAAGGTCATAGTCAAATTGGAAGTTCTCTCCTCCCTTCAGAGAAAAGTACGCCCCTTCTTTGATGGCCCGTTCTTTCCACTGGGATCTCACTTGCGGAGATCTTTCATTTAGGTTTTTTTTTTGTTTTTTTTTTTTTTTGCCAGAGTGTCTTGGCTTTCCATGCCTAAAATACTCTCATGGGCTCTTCAGCCAGATCTGAATGCCTTAAGGGCTGATTCTGAGGCCAGAGTGCTGTTTAGGACATCTGCCATTCTATGAGTCTGCTGTGTATCCCGCTTCCCATGTTGGATGGGTCTCTCCTTTTTAATTCTATCAGTTAGTATTAGCAGACACTAGTCTTGTTTGTGTGATCCCTTTGATTCTTAATCCTATCATTATGATCAATTGTGAACTAAAACTGATCACTTGGACTAGTGAGATGGTCTTGGTACATGCCACCTTGGTGGGATTGAATTAGAGTCCCCTGGCATGTTTCTAACTACTGTTTGGGGCAAGTCCGATTGAGCATGTCCCAAATTGTACATCTTCTCCCTCTCTTATTCCCACTCTTATATTTAACAGGGATCACTTACAGTGACTTGATCAGCCCTTGTCCTGACTGCCAATGAACAACTTAATACTTTATCCCTTTTAGTATTTTTTTTGTTCTACTTAATACTATTGGTTGAACTCTTTAATTAACACACAATTATTCTTAGGTGTTTAACTAAAAAGTGTTTTTCTTTAAGATTTTTATTTATTTGAAAGGCAGAGTGACAAATAATTATGGGGAGACAGAAAAATCTTCCATCCCCTTGTTCACTCTCCAAATGGCATAACAGGTCTGGGCCGTCCAAAGCCAGGAGCTGGGAACTGTACCTGGACCTCCCACGTGGCTGGCAGGGGCCCAATGGGATGCCAGCACCGCAGGCAGAGGATTAATCCACTGTGCTGTGGCTCCCTGGATAGAGGCCTCTTTCCTCTTATGAACTCCGGCCCCTGAGAGCAGAAGCTGGTGTTCCTCAATGCATCTTTGAGGCGTAGGACAAGACCTAGAACTAGAATGAAGTTTTGTGTTTGTTTTGCTCAAATCTCTATTCAAAATGAGTCTTATATGTATATTAAGTTCTATATGTATATAAGTAGTACTAATTATCCATCAAAAGTTTTCACATTCGGGCTTCACCATCATTTCAACTCAACATACCTGAAACTATTTAAAGTCCTTTCTCCTCCTACAAGAAAACAAAATACAATCATATGCTGCTTAATGAGGACAAGTTCCGAAAAATGCGTCATAAAGTGTAATCATACAAACTTGGATGACAACGTCACCATGTGATGCACCCTTATGAGACCACCCTCACCAGTTACTGATTGAAACATTGTGCAGCCTGTATATATAAAACAAAAACTTCCACATCCCCTTTGCAAGAACATTTCTTCTCGTCATTGGTACTCTATTATCTCTGAGAGGCAGAGAGATAGAGACAGAGGTAGGTAGGTAGGTAAATAGAGCTCTCCCATCCACTGGTTCACTCTCCAAATGTCCACGATGACCAGCGCTGGGCCATGGTGAAGCTGGGAGCCGGGAACTCAATCTTGGTTTCCTATGTGGGAGGCAGGGGGACCCAGGTATCTGCTGCCTCTGAGGGTACAAATTAGCAGGAAGCTGGAATCAAGAGTGGAGTGGAACCCATGCTCAAACCCAGAAACTCCAGTGTGGGATGCCGATGTCTCAAGTAATGATCTAACTGTGAGGTCAAACACCTATCCTGAAATATGTACTTTATTTGTACAGTAATTATCCCTCAGAAAAGCTTTTTATAAAAAATGAAAAAAAAAAAAGACAAAAACAAGACCTCCCTTTGGGGTGTTTCTCCCCTCTCCTTTTATTATTTTTATGACTCTACTTATTTGAGAGGCAGAGTTATGGGGTGGGGATGGGAGAGATAGAAAGGTCTTCCATTCACTGGTTCACTCCCCAAATGGCCGCAATGGCTGGGGCTGGGCAGATCTGAAGCCAGGAGCCAGGAGCTTCTTCAGGGTCTCCCATGCAGGGGCCCAAGGACTTGGGCCATCTTCTACTGCTTTTGCAGGCCATAGCAGAGAGCTGGATGGGAAGAGGAGCAGCCAGGACTAGAACCAGCATCCATATAGGATGCCAGCAGGACAGGCGGAAGCTTAGCCCACTATGCCACAGCGTTGCCCCCCCCCTCCCCCGCCGCCCCTTATCCCCTCCCGACAGGCCTATAGTGCCTCACGCCTGTACTGATTAGTCTAACTGCTTACTGGATGAGCTTCCGGCCCCCAGCATCCACTCCACATCCTGCTGCTAGACTGATCTTCCATTGGATTGTTGTGGGAAGGAGGGGATCAGTTTCACAGAAAATTGTAATTTTCTCCTTGATTAAGCACACAGATAACAGCCTAAATTACAGAATGCAGACCCAATTTTTACTCAACAAACAGAAAACTTCATGACTCATTTAGTTAATAAGGCATTAAAATTGGAGCTATGTCTTTGAATTTGGGCTCAGAGGCCTTTCTGATTAGTGTTTGAAGAGAAGGGATTCATAATTATACCTTGGAGGGAGCAAGGACTAAGGCCCTTTTCTTTAACCATTGAGACTGGACAGAAAAGAACATTCATGGAGCTCTAACTGGGTGCAATGAACTGTCCTGAGAGTTTTATTTGCCTTCTATTACTTAAACCTCTTGATAACCTCTAGATAAATATGAGTATAATTAGCCACTTAAAATCTCCACCACTTAGCAAGTGGTAGAGCAGTGACTAGAGCTCAAGTTTGGAAACAAATCTTGAACACTTTTTTTTTTTTTTTTAAGATTTATTTATTTATTTGAAAGGCAGAGTTACAGAGAGGCAGAGGCAGGGAGAGAGAGGTCTTCCATCCGCTGGTTCATTCTGCAGATGGCCCTGACAGCCAGAGTTGTGCTGAACTGAAGCCAGGAGTCAGGAGCTTCTTCTGGGTCTCGCACACGGGCGCAGGGGCCCAGCGCTTGGGCCATCTTCTACTGCTTTCTCAGGCCACAGCAGAGAGCTGGATAGGAAGTGGAGCAGCCGGGGCTCAAACTGGCGCCCATATGGGATGCAGGCACTGCAGGCAGCAGCTTTACCTGCTATGTCATAGCGCTGGCCCTGCCTCCAACACTCACAAATTGATTATGAATGATATGCTGAGAACATAAGAAAAAACTACAAATCATTAGAAAGGCAGTGGTACCTATTAAAAGTTATTTGTGGAATGAATGAATAAACAAATGAGAATAAATAGGGTAATTTATACATAATCACTTATGGAAATGGGCAGCGTTTGTAGCCACAGTTAAAAGATATTTTTCCTTTCATTAATGCAGCAAATACTCACTGATATTTATTTTGCATCTGGTCCTGTGCTTGGCATTGGTGTTACTATTCCTGCTGCTGTGGACTAGCTAGTGCAGAACATATACATTCATTTCATACTTGAAAGAAAAACACAGGGACTGCCATTTTGGTGCAGCATCTTAAGGCATGGCTTGTAACACCAGCATCCCTATGGATGTTAGTTCAAGCTGGCTGCTCCACTTCCAATCCAGCTCTCTGCTATGGCCTGGGAAAGCAGTGGAAGATGGCATCTTTGTAACTCTGCCTTTCAAATAATATATATATATATTTATTTTTTTTTTTTGCCAGGCAGAGTTAGACAGTGAGAGAGAGAGACAGAGAGAGAATTATAGACAGTGAGAGAGAGACAGAGAGAAAGGTCTTCCTTCCATTGGTTCACTCCCCCAATGGCCGCTACAGCCAGCACTGCACCAATCTGAAGCCAGGAGCCGGGTACTTCCTCCCTGTCTCCCATGCGGGTGCAGGGACCCAAGCACTTGGGTCATCCTCCACTGCCCTCCCGGGCCTTTTTTAAAAAGTAGGAAGAACCTGTTTTGTAGTAAGAAACAGAATGTATAATAATCAAAATATTCAAAGAATGAAATGTTAAAATTCATCAGGTACTCCAAAATAAGCAAAGAAGTATTTCCATGATTTCCTTTAAAAAAAAAAAAAAAGTCAATAGGGGCCGTCGCTGTGGCGCAGTAGGTTAACGCCCTGGCCTGAAGTGCCGACATCTCATATGGGTGCCGGTTCTAGTCCCGCTCCTCTTCCAATCCAGCTCTCTGCTATGGCCTGGGAAAGGAGCAAAAGATGGCCCAAGTCCCTTGCACCTGAGTGGGAGACCAGGAAGAAGCTCCTGGCTCCTGGCTTTGGATCGGCACAGCTCTGGCCATTGCAGCCAATTGAGGAGTGAACCAGTGGATTGAAAACCTCCCTCCCTCTCTCTCTCTCTCTCTCTCTCTCTCTCTCTCTCTCTCTCTCTCTGCCTCTCCTCTCTCTGTGTAACTCTGACTTTCAAATAAATAAATCTTTTTTAAAAAGTCAATAAAGGTTTTAATCAGATGGTTAAAATTGTAGTTGTCTTGTAATGTTTATAGGGTTTCAATAAAATCCTTGTACAAGTACATTTATAAACACTTTAACAAGCAAACACAAACATAAAACATGTTAGCTGGGAAAATAAGTGATTAACCTGGGGGTATAAGCTGAGAAAGTAACTAGACAAAGAATAGTCTAGATTCCAAGATCTACAGATGAAAAATTTTTATCCTGTTGTTAATTACTTAAGTCTTGTTTTTTTTTTTATTTGTTTGTTTTTCTTTCTTTTTTCTTAGGAGATAATTTTGGAAAAATGAAAATCTATGGACATTCAAAATTACTCATTCAAAATGGAAATAGTTTAAGTACTGCAGGGAGAAAAATGCATACTTTCATAACTTAGATGATCTATTTTTTTAAGTGTTTCATCTGCTTGATACTACACTTGATCTTAGCCAAAAGGCCGAGAAGTGATGTGTTTCATCTGCTTGAAAAGCAGAGCAAAGAGAGAGAGGAAGATAGAGATTTTCTATCTGCTGGTTTACTCCCCAAATTCGTGCAACATTCAGTTGGGCCACGCCAAAGCCAGGATCCTGGGAATCCATCCAAATCTCCCACATGCGTGGCAGGATTCAAGTACATAGGCCATCACCTGCTGTCTCCCAGAATGCATTAGCAGGAAGCTGGATCAGAAGTACAGGTGCTGGGCCTCGAACCAGCCCTCTGAAGTGGGATGAGGGCATCCCAGTCTATTTAATTGAAGACTGGGGCTGAAGGAAAGAATGGGGTGTAACTCATCATTCTTTTCATTCTTATTACATAGAATATTCTCACAGTTCCATGCTTTGAATAATAGTAATACATGTTTGTGCATTTTCTTTCAAAGAAGCACTTGTACTCCTCCAGGAAAATGTCTTCCTGATCTAAAATACTTTTAGAAGTGTGTTACAGGGGCTGGTGGGTATGTTGTGGCACAGCAGGTTAAGCTGCCACTGCCTGCGATGCTGGACTCCTAGATGAGCGCCGGTTCTAGTCCCCGCTGCTCCACTTCTGAACCAGCTCTCTGCTGATGCACTGGGGCAGGTTTGGGGCCCCATCACCCACATGGGAGACTCAGATGGAGTTCCAGGCTCATAGCTTTGGCCTTGCTCAGCACTGGCAGTTGCAGCCATTTGGGGAGTGAACCCATCGCTCGCTTGCGCGCTCTTTCTCTCTCTCTCTCTCCATCACTCTGCCTTTCAAATAAATAAACTTTTTAAAAAGTGTGTTATATATAACCATCCCAATCTGACTGGCAACCTTTAAATGTATTAGTAATTTAGAGTTTTCAGCACTGAGATAACAAGACTCAATGATTTCTAGGGGACTTAAAAGTGGCAATAAGAGTTATTGTCCTTGCTCAGTTGCTACATTTTATGTTATTCCTTTCAGGATAATCTGTTTCAAATTCAAGTTGATACTATCATTGTTCCTAGCTGTGTTCTATCACAGGCACTGATAATGATATACTCTGCCATTCATTCAGTTAACATCTGTGGAAAGATTACCAGTGCAACACACTGTGCTAACGTGTTATGGATGCAAAGCTACCTATGCCATGATGTCCCTTTAGAGAGCATGGTAGTGCAGACAAACCTATGCATAGACATATTACAATAATGTGGTTAGGGAAACAGTAGGCATGAATTCTGGGTGTTGCAAAGGCCCAAAGGTGCGTTAGGAAGACTTTCTGGGGCAAGATGGTAACTGAGGTAGGTTTTATGGAAGAATGATTAGGTATAACCAAATGACGAGAGATAGGGTAGATACCCTGGGATTTCCTGACAGAAGCAGAGGAGGACAGCGCCATTTCTAGAAAGCAAAGAGAAAGACAAGAAGTGGAGGGCGAGAGATTAAAATGTCCAGGTGAATGGGGGCCATCTAGAATGCTTGCATCCCATGTCAAGGAACTTTATATTTCAAGAGATGAAAAGTCACTGGATTTTGTATATAGGGAATAATAATGGAAGGACATGGACAGGGTCAGACCAGAGATCTGAAGGCCAGTTCAGAGGTTTGGTGTAGTGTTCAAGATGGAAGAGGATTAAGAGGCTGAACCAGGACAATGGCAGAGCTGGAGTGTGGGAAAAGGATTCCCAGATTAATTAGGGAGTATAGCTGTCAGGATTTGGTTGAATCTGGAAACTCAGATGGCAGAAGCACCAAAGACAGTTGTGAACAGAGCACCAACACTGAGTGCAATAGAGAATATAAGAAAAAGAGTGGGTTGGAAGGGAAGTGATGACGTCAGTTAATTTGGGGTTCACTGAGTTTGTGATATACCTGGAGCCTTGAAGTGGCAGGCAACGCTCTGAAGAGAAGTTTGAGATGTAGCTGTGGACTTGGTGTCATTACCACAATAGTGATAGGTGCAATCATCTCAATGGGTTAGGTACCTCAGGAAGAATGTCAAGTGAAGTAATTTTTCTCTCAGCACTATTTTCTTCTTTTTAAATAATGAAGCTGTATTTTTTTCTTTTTAAAAAAATATTGAAGCTGTATTTTCAAAAAATATTTATTTAGGGACCAGCACTGTGGCATAGTGGGCTACACATCTGCCTGTGGTACAGAATCCCATATGGGCACTAGTTCCAGTCCTGGCTGCTCCTCTTCCTATCCAGCTCTCTCCTATGACCTGGAAAAGCAGTAGAAGATGGCCCAAGTCCTTGGGCCCCTGCACCCATGTGGGGGACCTGGAAGAAGCTCCTGGCTCCTGGCTTTGGATCAGCACAGC